TGGGGGGCAACCAAGTGAGGGAGGAGCCGGAGGGACGGGGCTGAGACTGTGACCAGGTGAGGGCCTGGGGGGCGGGGTGGGTAGAGGGATTCGGAGGAAAGGTGAGGTTTGCAGGCGGCCAGGTGAGGGGAAAGGAAGGGGCCTAGAGGCTGACTGGAGAGGGAAATAAACCCAGGAAATGGGGTGGGGCGGGGGATGATGCGTATCCAAGCGGGACGGGGGGAGGGGGGTCACTCGACCAGGTAAGGGCAGAACTGGACGGGGCGCAGGGGAGGGGGGCTTAGAAGCGGCTGGGTGAGGGTGGGCGGGGCAAGGGCATGGCCTATGAAACCCGCCTGACCCGCTGAGAAGCCTGGGAGACGGCCAAGGCTCGGGCGAACTAGAGTTTGCAGGGATTGACCATTTGTGGAGGGACCGAGATTCTGAGAGACCAGTGCTCAAGGTCAGATTCAAAAGAGGAGCTAGGAAGCCAGGAGGCTCCCGCCCGTCATCCCAGCTGCTCAGGAGGGTGAGATCGGAGAATCACAGTTCAAAGCCAGCCCAGGCAGGAAAGTCCATGAGACTCATCTCCACTTAGCCACAAAAAAATCTGGAAGCAGAGCTATGGCTCAAGTAGTAGAGCACCAACCAGCCTTGAGCAAACAAAGCTCAGGGTCAGGCCCTGACTTCAAGCCCCAGTACCAGCCCCAGTACCAGCGCTCACACACACACAAAGAGGAGCTAAGGATTGATGTAAGGAGAAATAGGATGCTTGGGTTCTCCCCTGGCATCTCATTACCCTGTCTGTTCTCCCCCTTTACAGACTAGCAACCCTGGCACCACCGATGCCTTCCTGCACTACCGCACCAGCAAGGTGCGGGCCCTGCGGGCAGCCAGGCTGGAGCGGTTGGTGCATGAGCTGGTGTCTGGGGACCCAGCCCAGGACCCGAGCTTTGTACCTGCTTTCCTGGCCACCTACCGGGCCTTTGCGCCCACCGCACACGTGCTGGGCTTCCTGCTGCCCCCTCCTCCCCCGCCCCCACCTCTCAGGTCAGTAGCCATCAAGAACCTTCAGTGTTCCCGCCCTCAGATCTTCACCTGTGGCCCCCTTCCTCAGGTTTACAAGCAGGAATTCCAGGGATAGGCCAGTGGCTCACGCCACTGACATCTGAGGATTGCATCTGAGGATTGCAGAGGTTCAAAGACAGCCTGGGCAGGAAAGTTCATGAGACTCTTATTTCCAATTAACTACCAAAAAAAACCCCAAAACAAAACAAACACAAACACAAAAGTGGAGTGGAGGTGTGGTTCAAGGTAGAGCACCAGCCTTGAACATAAAAGCTCAGGGACACGCGCCCAGGCCCTGAGTTCAAGTTCAGAGAAACTCCTAGCCCTCCTCCTATCCCCTTTTCACATTTCCCAGGGTAGAAAGCAAGACAGATGGACAAGATCTGAGCATCACCAAGAACCTAAGGTTAGTCTTCCGGCCAGTGTGGGGAACACGGGGATCCTCAAAATCAGAGATCACCCCTCAAAGCAAGGGCTGCAGAGCTAGCTGACCTGAGGGTCCAAGTCTGGGCCTCTGTACCTTGCCTGGTGTCCTGCAAGCTAGGGTGGGAGTCTCCAATGGGCGGCGGGGAGACAGAGTGAGGGGGTCCCAGTAAAGCCCACCCCTCTTTTGATCTTAACCCAGACATGGGTCAGACTCTAAGTGGTCCCCACTTGTGGGCAGGGCTGTGGTGTCCGTGCTGGGCTCGTGGCTCCAGGACCACCCTCAGGATTTCCGAGACCCCCCTGCCCATCCAGACCTGGGCACTGTCCGGATCTTTCTGGGTTGGGCGGCTCCAGGAGGAGTTGAGGCCCAGGAAGCAGAGAAACTTCTGGAAGAATTTTTGAAGGAGACTGAACGAGAACAGGAAGAAGAAGAGCAGTCTGTGGCCCGGGCAGGTGAGGGGGTTTCTGTGTGTGTGTGTGTGTGTGTGTGTGTGTGTGTCTGTCTGTCCTTTAGCTCTTTCCACTCAAGACTGGTCTTTTAGCACTTGAGCCACAGCTTCAGCTTGATGATTAGTGGGAGATAAGAGTCTCGTGGAGGGGCTGGGAAGTTGGCTCAGTGGCAGAGTGCTTGCCTCTCATGCATGAGACCCTGGGTTCGATTCCTCAGCACCACATAAGCAGAAAAAAGCCAGACATGGTGCTGTGGCTCAAGTGGTAGAGCACTAGCCTTGACCTGAAGAGCTGAGGGACAGTGCCCATGCACAGAGTTCAGGCCCCACGACCAACCAAAAAAAAAAGAGTCTCATGGAGTCAGGTGCTGGTGGCTTATGCCTGTCATCCTACTTACTCAGGAAGCTTGAGATCTGAGGATCGTGGTTCAAAGCCAGCAGGAAAGTCCGTGAGACTCTTATCTCCAGTAAACCACCAGAAAACTGGAAGTGGCGCTGTGGCTCAAGTAGTAGAGTGCTCACCTTGAGCTGAATTGCTCAGGGACAGCGCCCAGGCCCAGAGTTCAAGTCCTACAGCTGACAAAAAAAAAATTCTCATGGATTTTCCTGCCCAGTCTGGTTTAAGTCAGGATCCTCAGATCTCAGCCCCCTGAGTAGCTGGGATTACAGGCGTGAGCCACCCTGCACCTGGCTCCCTCAATTTTATTTTATATTTTTCAAATCTCTGTGAATTTAGGAGAGGCGCGTCTGGAGGGTTCTCTCCCTCTACTCCTCAGTGCTAGCTCCAGGAGCAGGAAGCTCAAGGATTAGCTGGCTGAATAATAGCATTTAGCTTAGACTATCATCTTCCACCGTGGAGTGTTTGATCTGATCTCTGTCCCTAAGCCTCACCTCTAATCCTCGGATTAGACTCAATTCAGGCCCACGATCCTCACAGCTTTACTTCTTGGCAGCCACTACCCTCAGTTCTATTTGTGTTTTTCTCCCCTCCCTCCTGGTGACTAGCTATCTTCCTCCTCTCACCACTGTGTTTCCACTGCTGGTCTCTAAATCATTAGAGCTATGCACTCCACCTTAATAACTGCTAGCTAGCCTGCCTTGTTATTGAAAATTAGTTAGAATTAGTTAGAATTGGCTCCCGCCTGTCATCCTAGCTACTCCGGAGGCTGAGATCTGAGGGTTCAGTCAAAAGCCAGCCCGGGTGAGAAAGTTTGTGAGTCCTTTTATCTCCAGTTGATCAGTGAAAAGCTGGAGTGAAGCTGTGGCTCAAGTGGTAGAGTGCTAGCCATAAGCAGAAACGGCCAAATGACAGTGAGGGGCCCTGAGTTTAAGTCCCAGCACCAGTGGGTGCACATGCGCATCCGTGCGCGCGTGCACACACACACACACAGAGTTAAAACTGCCCTGGCCACATTGGCAGTGCTTGGTACATCTAGGAAATTCCACCCATGTCTTTCTGCAGGCTTCTTGAGATCAGAACTTTTAAAAAGATCATTTATTGAGCACCTACTGTATACCTGGCTCATTTTTGAGGTTTGAATTCACACTCTGCACCTCCCATTCTCCTTTGGCTGTTTGCTGGGCTGGCACTCTAGCACTTGAGCCAGGATTCCAGCATTGTTTTTTTGCTATTTTTTTTCGTGCCAGTCCTGGGGCTTGAACTCAGGTCCTGGGCACTGTCCCTGAACTTTTTGCTCCAGGCTATAGTTCTAGTTCTTGAGCCACAGCACCACTTCTGACTTGTTTTGCTGGTTAGAGGTACAAGTCTCAAAGACTTTCCTGTCCATGCTGTCTTCGAACCTCAGATCTCAGCTTCTGAGTAGCTAGTATTACAGGCAGGAGTCATGATGGCCTGGCACTGGAACAGATTTTAAATCTTCCATGTGAATTTTTGCTACAGAAAAACTCAGATATGTACAAAAGTAGGAAAGAATAGTAAAGAACACTCAAACATTCACATACTTATTGCTGGCTTTCAACAGTTACCCACCTATGCCGGGTGTGGTAGTGCGTGCCTGTAATTCCAGCACCGGAGAGGTTAATTCCAGTAGAATGATTCAGGCACTTGAGTTATTATTCCAGCAGGAGGATTCTGGATTCCAGCTCTTTCCGGGCTGTATGGTGAAAACCACCACCACCACAACCAATTATTGCTTTGACCAGAAGAACTTATTTAAGATGATGTTAAAGCAAATATCAGACTTAATTTCATCTCATACTTAAATATTCTGCATAGGCAGCTCTGACAAGAGCTTGTTTAGTTTCTTCAGTGCTGGGTATGGAATCTGTGTGTGTGTGTGTGTGTGTGTGTGTTACTGAAGTTTGACCTCAGGGCCTTTGCTTGCTAAGTAGGTGCTCTGAAATTGCATCTATACCCCCAATTTTTCTTACTTTACCACTTGAGCCACAGAGCCACTTCCAGCTTTTTTCTTTTTGCTTATGTGGTGCTGAGGAATCGAACCCAGGGCCTCATGCACATAAGGCAAGCACTCTACCACTGAGCCACCTTCCCAGCCCTATGCAGGACTTTTATGATCCTTGCAGGACTTTTATGATCCTTGCATTCCTGGGTAATTTGTAGATGAACAAGGTGGAAATGATAGCAAGCAGATTTTTTTTTTTTTCAACACCACTAGTCTTAAACAGTACATTTGGAGATTGGGTGATTTAGAATTCTTCATCTTTTGGGAAAGGAAGAATGCAATTTTCAATGTCACCACTAGAGGGAGCTGTGGTCGAAACACAAGTTTTTAAAATAATTTTCTCCACACTTTATAGCAGTCTGGTTTGCCTGATCTCGTTTGATTTAAAAGGAAAATCAAGGGGCTGGGAAGGCGTCTCAGTGATAGAGTGTTTGCCTCACATGAATGAGGCCCTGGGTTTGATTTCTCAGCACCACATAAGCAGAAAAAGCCAGAAATGGGGTTGTGGCTAAAGTGGTAGAGCACTAGCCTTGAGCTGAAGAGCTGAGGGACAGCGCCCAGGCCCAGAGTTCAAGGCCCACAACCAACAAAAAATAAAAATTAAAAAAAAAGGAAAATCAAGAGCTGGCCACCGGTGGCTCCTCCTGTCATCCTAGCTACTCAGGAAGCTGAGATGCGAGGAGCAAGGTTTGAAGCCAGCCCCGGCAGGAAAGTCTGTGAGATATACCTCCATTAAACTACTCAGAAAAGGCCAGAGGTGGTGTCAAGTGGTAGAGAGCTTACCTTGAGAAAAAGAATCAGGGATAACAACCAGGCTCTGAGTTCAAGCCCCAGAAGTGGCACCTTTTTTTTTTTTTTAACAGATGAACAATCAAGTGAGATTAAAAGGCATGCTCTACCCGAGTGAGTCTTCACCACTAGCCTAATGAGCAAGTTTGGGTTTGAATTTGGGATGTGTATTTTAGTTTTGGCCGTATTGGGGTTTGAACTTGGGGTCCTGGTAACTGCTAGGCAAGGGCTCTACCACTACAAACACACCCTCTGTCTTTTTTTTTTTTTTTGTCAGTCATGGAGCCTAAACTCTGGGCCTGGGCGCTGTCCCTCAGCTCTTCTGCTCAAGATGAGCACTCTACCACTTGAGCTACAGCGCCACTTCTGCTTATGTGGTGCTGAGGAATCGAACCCAGGGCCTCATGAATGTGAGGCAAGCACTCTACCACTGAGCCACCTTCCCAGCTCTAGTTTGGATTTTTTTTTTTTTTGTCGGTTGTGGGGCTTGAACTCTGGGCCTGGGCGCTGTCCCTCAGCTCTTCAGCTCAAGGCGAGTGCTCTACCACTTGAGCTACAGCACCACTTCCGGTTTTCTAGTGGTTTATTGGAGATAGGAGTCTCATAGTCTTTCCTGCCCGGGCTGGCTTTGAACTGCGATCCTCAGATCTCAGCCTCCTGAGTAGCTAGGATTACAGGCGTGAGCTACCAGTGCCCGGCGGTCTAGTTTGGATTTTTGACAGAAGATCTCTCTATCCTCTAACTGATGATCTTCCTATCTCAGACTCCTGAGTACTAACTAGGATACCACCATGCATGGCTGTATTTAGTTATTTATTTGTCAGTCATGGGGCCTGAACTCTGGGCCTAGCTGCTGTCCCTCAGCTCTTCAGCTCAAGACCAGCGCTCTACCTTGAGCCACAGCGCCACTTCTGGCTTTTTTCTGCTTATGTGATGTTGAACAATTGAACCCAGGGCCTCATGCATGTGAGACAAGCACTGTACCACTGAGCCACCTTCCCAGCCCCTCATGGCTGTATTTATTTATTGCAGAGCTGGTGATCACACCCAAGTCCTGCCATATGCTAGACAATTGGTGTATCACTGAACTGTATCCCAAGTCATGCAACCTTCCCTTTTTCCTTTCCTTTCCCTCCCCACTCTCTCCTTTCCTTCCTTCCCTTCCTTCCTTCCCTCCTTTCCCTTTTTCCCTCCCTCCCTCCCTCCCCCCCTCTCTCCCTCTCTCTCTCCTCTCTCTCTTTCTTGTCCTGGAGCTTCAAGTCTGGGCACTGTCCCTAAGCTGCTTTTTGTTCAAGGCTAGCACTCTACCACTTGAGCCACAGCGCCACCTCCAGCTTTTTCTGTTTATCTGGTACTGAGGAATTAAACCCAGGGTTTGGTGTATGCTAGGCAAGACTCTACCACTGAGCCATCTTCCCAGCTCATCAGATGACTTTCTGACAATAATCTTTCTTCTAAAATGAATGAAAAGTCTTAAGAAAAGTCTTAATTTTGATACAACCTCAAAAAATTGTTATTTTCTACTCCAGTCCTGAATACTTAGCTTCAGATTCCTGCCCTGCCTTCTTCTTGAAGGTGTGATGAAATGTGATTTTGGACAAACTGTTTCACATGTCAGTTTCCCTGTATTGAGAGATAGATGGACAAATAAAACACCTCCCTGCCTAGTGTGGTGATACATGCCTGTAACCCCAGCTCCTCGGGAGACAGAGGCAGGAGAATCTCCAGTCCAGGCCAGCCTTGAGCAAAATTAGAACAGAAAGCAAACAAAAACAGGAAACAAAAGAGATGAGAATATGTTCTAAGTGGCAGAGTGCTTGCTTAGCAATGTGGAAAGTTCCGGAAATTCCTTATTGTGCTGAAGAATTAAATTAATCCATGCAATTAATACTTAGAAATACTCAGAGTTCCTTAAGATATTCCAAGTTCCTTAAAATATTCAGTTCCTTTTACAGATGATAGAAAAAAAGGGGGGAGGGGATCTTACAGGGATTTGGATTTTGTATTTTTAAATTCTTTCTGCAGTTGGCTGGAGATTTAGCCTGGCCTGACCTTGTCTACTCTATCCTCAGCTCAAATTATAAAAGGGTGTGTGTGTGTGTGTGTGTGTGTGTGTGTGTGTGTGTGTGTGTTTGTGTGTTTTACTTTTCTCTGTGCCAGTCCTGGGGATGGAACTCAGGGATGCTGTCCCTTACCTTTTTTGTGGTTCATTGGAGAGAAGAGTCTCTTTTTTTGGTCGGGCTGGCTTTGAACAGCTACCCTCAGATCTCAGCCTCCTGAGTAGCTGGGATTACAGGCGTGAGCCACCGGTCTCAAATTTGAGTCTCTAACCTGGTCTAATCCTCAGGGTCCCTCAGGACCAACTCCCAGGAGGGCCTGGCTGAAGAGGAGGAGGAAGAGGCCGGGCAGGAAGGCCCGGAGCTCCTGGATTTCAGCGAGGACGAGGTGGCCGAGCAGCTGACTCTCATAGATGTGGTGAGAACCCCGGGCTGGGGCAGAGCGGGGGTGCAGCGGAGGGGCCGGTTACCACACGGCGGCCCCATCCCACCTTCCTCCCCCACCCAGGAGCTCTTCTCGCGCGTGCGGACCTGCGAGTGCCTGGGCTCGGTGTGGTCTCAGCGGGACCGGCCCGGAGGCGCAGGTGTCTCCCCGACCGTCCGCGCCACCGTGGCCCAGTTCAACAAGGTGACTGGCTACGTGCTGGGCTCGGTGCTGGGGGCACCGGGCCTGGCCGCGCTGCAGCGGGCGCAGCGGATCGAGAAGTGGATCCGCATTGCCCAGGTAGGTGGGGGCGTGGCTTCTATGCGTGGGGCGTGGCTTCTATGTGGGGCGTGGCCTCTGTGCGGGGGCGTGGCGTGTGCTTGTAACCTGGAGTGGGCGTGGCTTTTGGGACAGGTCCGTGGTGCAGGCGTGGCGTTTGTGGGTGGGGCGTCGTTATGGGCAGGGCTTAAGGAGGAGCATTTGGGAGTGGGAGGAGCCTGGGCAGGGCTAGGGAATCGAATGGGCGGGGTGGTCCTGAACCAAGCTGAGTTGGGGGTGGGGCGGGAACTTCAGGACCTGGAGGAAGGAATAGGGGGGGTCTCGAGCAAGTTGGGGCGTATGAAAGGGAATGGAAAAGGAAGAAGGTAGAAAATGGATACTTGTGAATCGGTTCAAGGAGGATGCTACTTACTAGAGAGGCTGGGAGAAGACAAGGCCAGGGGGCGTGGCTCAGGGAGTGTGTGGCTCCAGTGGGCAGGGCTCTGGCTGGCAGGGCTCTGGTGTGGGGGCGTGGCTTTGGTGGGCAGGGCCCCCAGCGGGCGTGGCAGGGGTCCCATTGGGCGTGGTTTGTGTGGGCGTGGTTTTTGGTGGGCAGGGCTAGGAGAAGAGCCGGGGAAGGGATGGGGTCAGGGGAATCAGGGGAAGTCTTAGCTTGGCACCAGTCCCTGGGGGGGGGGGGAGCCCAGGGTCATCTGGCTTCCGAAGTCACATGATCCAAGTGGCTGTGTCCTGGAAGTCAGCTCCCCGGTGTGACCTGTGTCCCACCGCCCCCAGCGCTGCCGGGAACTGCGGAACTTCTCGTCCTTGCGGGCCATCCTGTCCGCCTTGCAGTCGAACCCCATCTACCGGCTGAAGCGCAGCTGGGGGGCCGTGAGCCGGTGAGCCTGGGGAGGGGGGTGGCGCTGGGGGCGGTGGAGGCCTGGGGACCCCCTCCCCGCTCCCCAGCTCTGACGACCATCCCTCTCTCTTATCCCCACCAGGGAACCATTATCCACTTTCAGAAAACTTTCACAGATTTTTTCCGACGAGAACAACCACCTCAGTAGCCGAGAGATTCTTTCTCAGGTTTGGATGGTTCTTGATCCAGTAGATTCCAGAGGCAGGCAGGGGACTCTGTGTGTGTGTGTGTGTGTGTTGGTCCTGGGGCTCCAACTCAGGGCCTGAGTTCTGTCCCTGAGCTTTGTCATTCAAGGTTGGCGTTCTAGTTCTACCACTTGAGTTACAACTCTACTTCTGGCTTTTTGCTGATTATTGGAGATAAGAGTCTCAGAGACTTTCTTGTCCCTGCGGGCTTGGAACCTCGATCCTCAGGTCTCAGCCCCCTGAGTAGCCAGGATTATAGGCAGAAGACACCCACTTGACTGTTTCTGTGACACTCAGCAAAAATAAAAGCCTTGACAAAATACAAGAAGTGACAGGAAAAGGTTACTTAAGGCCAGAGTGGCAGCCAAGTGTGGAAAAGGAAATAGGTTCTGGGAATTTCTCTTGATACACATGAATTTTTAAATGTGGGCCAAGTCTGATTCATTATAGGCAAAGAACGTAGGTTCTAATTGCAATCAGGCTCTGGTTCTTCCAGTGAATTCAGAATAAATGGAACATGGAACCTGCTCGTAAGTCTAGAACATTCTGTTACCCTCCCCTCAAATAGGAAGGCACGTTGCTCTGGCAGGTGTCTATCTAAATGTCTTCACCTTGGAGAGACCCTCCCTGAAGTAAAGGGCCCCCACCATCTGCACACACCTTCCCCTCCTCTCCCTGCATTATTAGTAGTCTTTCTGCCTGTGCTATTATGGTATTTATGCTCCTGTGTCTACTGAAACTACTGGTCTCTACATCAGACCTTCTATTTCTCAGGAGGTACTGGGGTTTGAACTTAGGGCCTTGTACTTGTTAGACAGGTATTCTATCACCTGAGACTCCTAGCTCTTTTCTTTTGCTTTGGGTATTTTTGAGATTGACTTTATCCAGCCTAGACCACGATCCCCTTTTTCCATCATAGCTTTTTCTTTGGTCTAGATAGGCTGGTTTAGAACTGAGGTCCTCTCCATCTCTGTCACCTCTGAATAGATAACCATGCTGTCTGCTTGGTACTCAGCATAGTGTCTGGCACACGGTAAGCACTCAGTAAATACCTTCTTGGGGAAGGCATATGTTAAATAACAAGGGCTCAAGGGACAGGAAGCTCGGCCAAAGCACCTACTTTGTGCCCTCAGCCCTTCCTGTGTGCCTGGCCTTGTTTTTTGCTCCACTGACAACCAGAGGGACTCAGAGTATCAGAATATCTACCTTGCAGGGCACCTTATGACTCACGCCTGTAATCCCAGCTACTCAGGAGGCTGAGATCTGAGGATTGCAATTTGAAGCCAACTCCAAGCAGGAAAGTCTGTGAGATTGAGATTCAACTCCAAATTAACTACTAAAACAAACAAACAAACTGGAAGTGGAGCTGAGGCTCAAGTGGTAAAGAGCTAGCCTTGAGCACAAAAGCTCAGGGACAGTGGCTAGGTCCTGAGTTACAAGCCCCAGGACCCAACATTGAGAGAGAGAGAGAAGGGGGGGAGAGAGAGAAATGAATCTGGGTACCAGTGGCTCACGCCTGTAATTCTAGCTGCTCAGGAGGCTCAGATCTGAGGATTGGGGTTCAAAGCCAGCCTGAGCAGGAACATCTGTGAGATTCTTATCTCCAGGGAACCACCAGAAAACCGGAAGTGGTGCTTTGGCTCACAGAGCCCTTGCCTTGAGCTGAAGAGCGTAAGGACAGTGCCCAGGCCCAGAGTTCAAGCCCCACGACTGACAAAAACAAAAAAACAAATGAAGATGGGTATTACTGTGGGTACTGAAGAAGTTGAAGGAGATCCTAGGCCAGCCAAACCTTTCTTTCTTCCCAGGAGGAGGCTACGGAGAAACCCCAGGAGGAGGACAGCAGCACTCCAGGGAGCCTGTCCTCCGTGAGTGTCGTGGTATAGGCTGTGGGGGGAGAGAAGACCCTCAGGCTGAGGGTGGCAGGGTCAGCAGTGACCCAGAGTGACTGGAGCTTTGGGGGGGCTGCAGAAGCTTCCCCCAGGTCCAGTTCCCTATCTGGGGACCTTCCTCACCGACTTGGTTATGTTGGACACAGCCCTGCCGGACAAGTTGAAGGTTTGACCTGCCCCCTGACCCTTGACCCCTGACCCCAGCTCCACTTGCTCCTAACTCAGTGGGCCTCCTCCTGTCGACCCTTGATCCTGCCTTGAACCTCTTGACCCTGGACAGTCCAGCTGAGGTCCATTTTGCCCCCTCCCTACAGGGGGATCTTATCAACTTTGAGAAGAGGAGGAAGGTAAGAGGATCCCAGTGGGTGTTAGTTAGGGCCGCAGGGAGGTGCTGGTGATGGGGAGGGGGCGGGGCCGCTCACAGGCCACGCCCCCAGGAGTGGGAGATCCTGGCCCGAATCCAGCAGCTGCAGAGAAGCTGCCGGAGCTACAGCCTGAGCCCCCACCCGCCCATCATGGCTGCCCTGGAAGCCCAGCGCCAGCTCAACGAGGAGCAGAGGTAATGCCTGCCGCCTGGCCCAGCTGCACCCCTGCCCAGCCTCTCACCCCTCCACCCTTCCCAAGCCCAACCCCAACCTGGGAGGCCTGCCCTCACTTCCTGCCCCAAACTTGGCCCCACCAGACATTATGATTTCAGTCGTGTGTGTGTGTGTGTGTGTGTGTGTGTGTGTGTTGATGTTGGTCCTGGGGCCTGAACTTACGGCCTGGGCACTCTCCCTGAGCGTCCTTGTTCAAGATAGGCACTCTATCACTTGAGTCACAGCTCCACTTTGGCTCTTATTGGGGGCTAATTAGAGATAAGAGTCTCATGGACTTTTCTACAAGGACTGGCCTCAAACCACAATCCTCCAGGCTCAGCCTCCTGACTAGCCAGGATTACAGGAGTGAACCACCCGTGCCTGGCTCCCATCAGTTGTGTGTGTGTGTGTGTGTGTGTGTGTGTGTGTACGTATCAGTACTGGGACTTGAACTCAGGGCCTCATTGCTGGTTCCAAGCATTTTTTTGCCCAAGACTGGCTGGGTTGGGACTGTGATTCTTGGACTGCAGCTTCCTGAGTACCTAAAGCTAGCTGGCTTTAACTCCAACGTTAATGTTTTTGTGATTATCTGATTCAGCCCAATTGTTTCCTGCCAGCCTATGAAATTCATGACCTTCACCATTGACCCTGACCACCACTTTTTACCCTGTTGTCCCTTGACCCAACTCCTTTGTTGAACTGGTACTGGAGGCGTGGCTCAATGGCAGAGCACCTACCTCACAGACTTAAGGCTCTGAGTTCAAATCCTTATACAACAAAATAAAAAAATAAGTTCTTGCCAGGCACCGGTGGCTCACAACTGTCATCCCAGCTACTCAGGAGGCTGAGATCTGAGGATCATGGTTCAAAGCCAGTCCGGGCAGGAAATTCCGTGAGACTCTTAGCTCCAATGAACCACCAGCAAACCGGAAGTGGCGCTATGGCTCAAGTGGTAGAGCGCTAGCCTTGAGCTGAAGAGCTGAGGGACAGCGCCCAGGCCCAGAGTTCCAGTCCCAGGGCCCCCAACAAGAAAAAAAGTGTCACCTTGTAAATCTCCATGTGATTGGCCAGCCAGGCCGCCCCAGCTAGTCCCTGCTGCCTCGCAGCTCCATGTGCCCTGACCCACACATCTGTTCTCAGCGGTTGCACCAAGACCCAATCCCAACTCTTTCACTCCTCTCTCCATCCCCCCTGCACCCTGGCCCACCTTCCCCCATCCCCATTTTGACCCCTTTAGCTACCGAATCTCCCGGGTCATTGAGCCACCGGCTGCCTCCTGTCCCAGCTCCCCACGCATCCGGAGGCGCATCAGCCTCACCAAGCGGCTCAGTGCGTGAGTTGGGGATCGGGAAGGGGGGAAGGGGAGGGTATCTGAAGGGTCAAGGGTCATGTGAGCCAGGATTGGTGTGGGGGGGAGGGGGAAGTCTGCCAAGTGTGGCCTCAGTATTCTTTCCTTCCTTCCATCTTCCTTCCTTCCTTCCTTTTCTTTCTTCTTTCCTTCTTCCTGTCTTCTTTCTTTTCCTTCTTTCCCTCCCTCCCTTCCTTCTCTTTCTTCCTGCTCTTTCTTTCTTTTCTTTTCTTTTTTTCTCTTTTCTTTTTGTGCTGGTCCTGGGGCTTGAACTCAGAGCCTTAAACCTGTCCCTTAGCTTTGTCACTCAAGGCTGGCACTTTACCACTTGAGCCACAGCTCCACTTGTGCTTTTTAGTAGTTGATTGGAGAGGAGAGTCTCATACTTTTCCCGCCTGGGCTGCCCTTCGAACTCTCAGCTTCCTGGTCAGCTAAGGATTATAAGGTGTGAGCCACCAGCTCTCTGCATTACTCTTTGTTCACATTCTCAGGAAGCTGTCTCGAGAGAAAAGCTCATCTCCCGGTGCCAGTCCTGGGGACCCCGCATCACCCCCCTCCAGGTGACTTCCCAGTTGGTGAAGGGGCTTAGAGAGACAGCAGTGTCAAAGGTCAGAGCAGCCAGGCCACCTCAGGCTCTGTGTCTCCCCCCAGTCTGTCCCCAGGCTCCCCTCCTTCCAGTCCTAGAACCAAGGACCCCCCAAGCAGCCCTCCATCCTCTCCAGGGCCTCAGGGCCCCAGCACCAAGGTACCAAGGCCACTTGGGTTTGCATGGAGGACTGGGGTGCCTGGATGCTCTACGTGCGCGTGCATGCGTATGAATGTGCGCATGCGTGTGTGTGTGTGAGAGAGACCCTTTCATGTTGTGTGCGTGCACAGGATTGTGGGGTCAGTTAGGAGATAGAATGCCTCCTCAAGACCCTGCTTGACCGATCACTAGTCTAGAGTGTATGTGCGTTTGTCTGTCTGTCTCTCTGTCTGTTCACACTGGGGCTTGAACTCAGGGCCACAGGCTCTCGCTTGGCTTTTTGCCCATGGCTGGTCTCCACTTCTGTTTTTTGGTGATGATAAGAGTCTCCTAGACTTGCCTGCCCAGGGCTGACTTCAGACTACCATCCTCAGATCCCAGCCTCCTGTAGCTGGGATTACAGGTGTGAGCCACCAGTGCCTGATGATTTTTGTCTTGTAGCATAGGATGTCCTTACCAACTTGCAATCCTCCTGCCTCTCTCTGCCTCTTGAGTGCTGGGATTACAGGCATGCACTGCCTGGCCCATAACTTGTACATGGTTTGTGAATGGTTGGTGTGGCCATTTGATTGTGTAACAGAGGACTGAGGGGTGTGTGTGATGGGCTGATGTATACGTGGGCCTCTGTGTGTGTGCCTCAGTGTGTGTCCTGGGTATGTAGGGAGGGTGTGGTTGTATACTCAGGAGGTAGAGATGACTTTGTTGAAGACACTGGTGGGACCTCATGCAAGCCTGCAGCCTCTTATTTTTTATTTTTGTTGGTTGTGGGGTGTGAACTCAAGGCCTAGGCGCTGTCCCTGAGATTTTTTTTGCTCGGCCAGCATTCTACCGCTTTGAGCCACAGCTCCACTTCCAGTTTTCTGGTGGTTCATTGGAGATAAAGAGTGTCATGGACCCTCTTGTCCGAGCTGGCTTTGAACCACGATCCTCAGATCTCAGCCTCCTGAGCAGCTGGGATTGCAGGTGTGAGCCACCAGTGCGGGGCTTGCTCTCATCCTCCTACAGCTGCCTGTGAGCCTGGACCCCCCAGGTCCCCGGTCCCCAGCGCCAACCCTGAGCAGCCCTAGAGTACCCCCCTCAGGACAGCAGAACTCGGAAGCCCGGATCATCCGGGTCAGCATGGACAATGACCATGGGAATTTATACCGGAGCATTTTGGTGAGGGGCTGATCTGGGGATTTGCTGGGTGCAGCCCTGCTCTTCGGGGGTTGGGGCGGGGGGGCCGAGAACTCTTTCCCTCACTTCCTACTCTTATCCTGCAGCTCACTAGTCAGGACAAAGCACCCAGCGTGGTCCAGCGAGCCCTAGACAAACACAATGTGTCCCAGTGTGGGTCTCGTGACTACCAGCTATTCCAGGTCCTACCTGGGGACAGAGGTGAGCAAGGGACAGCTTGGAACCTGGGCTGGAGAAGCAGTCTCCACTGGAGTCAAAGATAGAGCCCTGCTGGGTGCAGTGGCTCAAGCCTGAAGTCTTTAGCTAACTGGGAGGCAGAGATGGGAGGATCAGGATTCAAGGCCAACTCAGACAAAAAGACATTCATAACTCCAACTCAACCAATGGTTGAGTGTGTTATCCCACCTATGCGGAGAAGCAGAAGTAGGAGGATCACAGTCCAGGACAGCCCAGGCATACAGGAGACCTAACCTCAAAAATAACCAATGCAAGCTGGGTGTTGGGGGTTTGCACTCATCCTCCTAGCAACTCAAGAGGCTGAGATCTGAGAATCAGTTCTTTTTTTTTTTGGGGGGGGGACCTGGTTCTGAGGCCTAAACTCTGGGCCTGAGCGCTGTCCTTCAGCTCTTCAGCTCAAGGCTAGCACTCTACCACATGAGCCACAGCGCCACTTCCGGCTTTTTTTCTTTTTGTTTATGTGGTGCTGAGGAATCAAACCCAGGGCCTCAGGCATGCAAGGCAAGCGCTCTACCACTGAGCCACCTTCCCAGCCCTGAGAATCACAGTTCTAAGCCAGCCAGGGAAGTAAAAGTTTTCCCTGCCCTGAGACTCATCCCCACTAAACTACCAATAAAAGCCAGAAGTGGTGCTGTGGCTCCAGTGGTAGAATACTAGCCTTGAGCAAAAGAAGTTCAGGTACAGCACCCAAGCCCCGAGTTCAAGCCTCAGGACCAGCAAAACAAAACACAGCAACAACAACAACAACATAGCTGGGCACTGGTGGCTCACACCTATAATCCTAGCTACTCAGGAAGCTGAGATTTGAGGATCAAGCCCGGGCAGGAAAGTCCATGAGACTCTTATCTCCAACAAACCACCAGAAAAATGGAAGTGGCGCTGTGGCTCAAGCGGTAGATGCTAACCTTGAGCAGAAGAGCTGAGGGACAGCGCCCAGGCCCAGAGTTCAAGCCACATAAAAAAAAAAAAAAAAGAGACCCATGGACTGTCTTTCCCAGGCTGGCTTTGAACTGCGATCCTGAGGTCTGGACCTCCAGTGTAGCTAGGATTTACAGGCCTGAGCCACCAGGAGACACTGTATTCATTTACCCTCCAGGGCCTGGGAGCAGGTGGGTGGGACATCCAGAATAACTCAGGTGTCCAGCACGAAGGCCAGGAAGTTGTGCAAACTGGCAAGGGGATGTTGTCCAAGTTCCCAGAGCATGTCTTGGCGGGGTTGGGGGCGAGGCAAAGGGAAAGACAGTCATTGGAATTCTAGAAGGTTCTCTAGGTCCTTCCTGGGAGGTTAGGAAACTTGTGAATGTGCAGTTCTGCCACATCGTTTCCACTTCTCTGCAGTGCTCCTGATTCCGGACAATGCCAATGTCTTCTATGCCATGAGTCCTCAAGCCCCCGGAGACTTCGTACTGCGTAGGAAGGAGGGGACCCGGCCCACACCCTCTGTCTCCCCAACCTGACCCCCAGAGCATCTTGGGTCCTCGCTCCTACACCATGGAAGTTGGGGGGACCTCTGCCCTGGGAAGCCTCCACCTCCTCTTTTTCTCTTCTTTCTTTTCTTTGGTAGATTGTAGGGCTTGAACTCAGGGCCTGGGCACTGTCTCTGAGCTCTTTTGCTCAAGGCTAGCACTCTACCACTTTGAGCCACAGTTCCACTTCCCATTTTCTGGTGGTTCATTGGTGATGAAAGTCTCATGGACTTTCCTGCCTGGAACCGTGATCCTCAGATCTTAGCCTTCTGAGTAGCTAGGATTACAGGTGTAAGCACCAGTACCTGGCTGTGTGTGTGTGTTGTGTGTGTGTGTGTGTGTGTGTGTGTGTGTGTGTGCGTGTGTGCATATGTGTGGGATTTGACCTCAGGGCTTGGGTGCTGTCTTTGAGCTTTTGTGCTCAAGGTTAGTACTCTACTATTTGAGCCACAGCTCCACTTCTGGCTTTTTTCTGGTTAATTGGACAGGAAAGGATTACAGACTTTCCTTCCTGATCTGGCCTTGAACCTCCATCCTCATATTTCAGCCTCTTGAGCAGCTAGGATTACAGGTGTGCACCAGGGCCTGGGCACTGTCTGAGTCCTTTTTGCTCAAGGTGAGCACTCTACCACTTTGAGCTACAGTGCCACTTCCTGTTTTCTAGTGGTTAATTGGAGATGAGTATCAAGAACTTTCCTGTCCCAGCTGGCTTTGAACCTGGACCCTCAGATCTCAGTCTCTTGAGTAGCTAGGATTACAGGTGTGAGTCACCAGCGCCCAGCCTCCATCTCTCCCTCTCCCTGTCTCTCCTCTCCCTCTCAAGCCTGAGGCTTGAACTCTGGGTCTGAGCACTGTCCCTGTATTCTTTTTATTTTATTTTTTTGCCAGTCCTGGGGCTTGGACTCAGAACCTGGGTGCTGTCCCTGAGCTCTTCAGCTCAAGGCTAGCGCTCTACCACTGAACCACCTTCCCAGTCCTGTCCCTGCATTCTGTTGACTCAATCTCATAGCTAGTACTCTACTACTTGAGCCACAGCACCACTTCCAGCTTTTTCTGTGATTAATTGGAGATGATAGAATCTCACAGACTTTCTTGTCCAGGCTGGTTTCGAACTGTGATCCTCAGATCTCAACCTCCTGAGTAGCTAGGATGACAGGCATGAGCCACCAGTGCTGGGCCTCCATCTGTTCATAGAAGCCACTTTTCTCTGTATTCTGTGATCTTCCCCCTCTCCTACCAGACCCTGTTTCTCTGACTCTTTGGGTGCTAGACCCTGTGCAAAATGCAAACCAATAAAAGGAAAGAAAAACTCCAACCCAAATAGGGGGTTGGTTGAACCAAGACTGATGTGGAAGTATTCTGTCCCCCATTTTCCTGGGACCCTGTGCCTCTTTTCTGTGATGTATGTATAGGACAAGGGAAGAAATAAAATCCCCTGGAATCAAAGGCTGCCAGGGTCATTGCTTAGGAAGGAGTAAACATAATATGAAGAGGCAGAGAGGGAGGACCAGTGGGCGTCCCTGGCTCTTCTGAAGGTATTCGTGGATGCCCCCCTCCATCATTTTGAGAAGCTCCATGGAGATTACAGGTGTGAACTACTACACCTGGCCTGGATGCACTATATGTTCTATGTTAGGAGAATGGAAAAGGAATTAGGCTGGACCTGATCGTCACCAGGCCAGCAAGGGCCACAGACCTGCCTGTGGGTTTGGAGGTTGTACAAAGGACTGGATTGGCAGGGGGGCAGAGGGGTGGCCCGCGTCTATGGGTCCTCACAAGGAAGTAAAGGACTAAAAGTCAGGCTGTAATTACTCCAGAGTGGAATGCTCCACCTGGTGTAATGGCGTTGGGCTGAGCCCAGTTGGGATTGACCCTGTCTCCGGACAGGCAGGGGAGCGCACACCTGCTCTCGGCTTGACCTAGGGGAATAAGGTGGGTGTCAATCCTTCAGTATAATTTTTGTTTTAGTGCCCATCCTGGGGCTTGAACTCCAGGGTCGAACTCTTTTGCTCAAGGCTAGGGCTCTACCACTTGAGCCACAGCTCTACTTCCAGCTTTTTGTTGGTTTATTGGAGATCAGAGTCTCAGGGACTTTTCCTGACCTGGCTAGCTTTGAAATGCCATTCTCAGATCTCAGCTTCCTGAGTAGCTAGGATTACAGACTGTGAGGCACTAGCACTTGGCTACTTACCATATTATTAAATACCAAGTGCATAAAATATGTAAGCAGTAAAATTGTTTCTTAAAAAAAATCAGAAAAGAGCCGGGTGCTGGTGGCTCACACCTGTAATCCTGGCTGTTCAGGAGACTGAGATCTGAGGATGGTGGTTTTGAACCTGCCAGCATGGGCAAGAAAGTCTGTGGGACCCTGATCTCCAGTCAACCAGCAGAAAACAGGAAGTGGTGCTGTGGCTCAAAGTGGTAGAATGCTAGCCTTGAGCAAATGTGCTCAGAGACAATGCGCGAGCCCTCAGAGCCCGAGGACCGATATGATATATCTATATATACAGAGATATACCGATATATATATACAGATATATCGATATATCTCTCTATATATAGATATATCTGTATATATAGATATATACAGATATATAGATCTATCTGTCTATCTATCTATCTATCTATGCCTATAATCCTAACTACTCAGGGTGAAAGCTGAGAATCACAGTTGGAAGCCAGCCCTGATAGGAATGTCCTTGAGACTCCAATTAACCACCAAAAAAAAACGTCTGGAAGTGGAGCTGTGGCTCAAGTGGTAGAGCACTAGCCTTGAGCACAAAAACTCAGAGCCAGCACCCAGACCCTGAGTTCCAGACCCAGGACTGGCACACACACACACATTAAAAAGAAGTAATCAGAAAAGAAACCCCACACCCCAGAATTAATGTGCACACTTTACAAACAATAAACCATAGTATACCTCCCATCCTCACAGCATAGCCAGCTCCTATGCAAGAATTCCAACAACTAGTAGTTCTAGAGTTATTATTTCCCGACTGGCTTATCATGCTGATTGGTATGACTATCCAATAGCTTACATTTTTGGAGGGCAGAGTTTGCCAGGCATCCGGACATATTTGAAAGAAAAGAAGCCTCATTAGTGCAGGGTCACACTGTGAAAAAGCTTGACATCAAGAAACAGTTTTTCCTTCCCCCTCATCCCCTTGTTCCCCCGCCCCCCCCAAGTTACCTCCAGGAGGGGCCCTGTCCCCTGGGGCCCGGCTGCCTGGTCTTTATCTGGGGCCAGGCTTTGTGCTGGCCCCGCCCCCTCGGGGAGCTGCCACTCAGAGGCTCCTGACCGGGAAGGGCCTGGTCAGCTGTGTCCGGCGGAGGCAGCTGCGGACCCAGCTGGAGACTGTGTCAGGGGCAGAGGGGGAAAACGGAGGGCCTGGAGTCCTGGCTTCCCCGGGACTCCCCGGGTTTGGGGTGAGGGGGGCTGCTGCACCATGGGCTGCCCCAGGGTTGCCCTGTGGCCACGAGTTGGATTTCTCGGTCTCCTGCTTGCTGGGGCAGCCTGGGCTCCCCAACTCAATCTCCCGGACCCCAAGTTTGAGAGTAAAGGTAAGGTCTGGAGCTATCTGTGGAACACTTCCACGGCCTCCCCCACCACCATCCTCGCCCCCACAGATCTGCCAAGAAATGCTGGTGGAGTGAACCTCTAGATTAGATTCTGGGGTGGGGGGTAAAAGTGGGGGCTAGCTGGTATCTGATGAGACCAAACTGGGGTCTCAGTCCTCAGGCTGGATTTGGTGGTGGGGGGGAACCAATTAAGAGAGGATCATCAGGCTCTTGTTCTGTCTTTCCAGGGAGTTGGGGACCTGCTAAGTTTAATGTTGGGGTTTGGGCCTCTGAGCCCCCCGAGGGGAGGGATGGAGGGAGAAGGGCTAAGCCCCAGGGCCGAGCCTGGCCGCCTGCGGGTGACTGTAAACACCATGCCGGGCAGCCCCCAGTGAGGGGAGGGAGGGGCTCGGGTGCACGGTTGGCGCTATCTGGTCGCCCGGGGCCTGCAGGGGCTGATAGAGGGCCGCCTCCTCCACACCCACCCGCCAAGCCCGGCTGGGTCCGGGGCGGGGTCTGGAGGCTGGGGGCGGGGGACACCGAGGCCACCTGCTCTTGGAAGTTTGAGAGGTGCCACTTCTGTAGACCCCTGGAGGAGCTCCCACCCCCCAATGCTGGGGGTGCGGGGCAGGGGGAAGGACTTGGTCCTTATCGGATCCGCCCAGGCAGTAGGAAAGAGGGGGGCGGGGAAGGGCAGCTGGGGCCTGGGGAACCCGGCAGGGCTTCCTGGACAGGATGGGGGGTTTGGGAGGGAGGGGGTTGGGGGACCCTCCATCTGTCACTTCCCCCCTCCCCAGCTGCCCTGCTGGCAGCCCGCGGGGCCGAAGACCTCGTGTGTTTCACCGAGCGCCTGGAGGACTTGGTGTGCTTCTGGGAGGAGGCGGTCAGCTCGGGGGTCAACTACAACTTCTCCTACCAGCTGGAGTGAGTGGGATGGAAGTGGGGGTGCGGGCGCCCCGCCAGTGCCCGGGATGGGGAGGAGAAGGAGCGCGGGAAGAGGTAGAGCGTCCTGGAGGTCCTAGCTTGAGATATTCCCGCCTCCCCCCAATGCCTTTGGGGCCAGGCCACGCCCCCAAGTCGTGATCACTGGTGGGAACCCCCACACCGGGGCTGGGATCATCCCAGTTCTGATCACTGGTGGGAAACCCCCAAACCGAAAGGGGAGCGGCGCCCCTAGCGGCCGGGGCTGGAATAATTCCAAGGGTGGTCGCTGGTGGGAATCGCGATCCTCCTCCACACACACACACGCACTCACACGCACACGCTTCCCACGTGCTCCCTCCCTTTCCCGGGCCCAGCGGTGAGCCGTGGAAGCTGTGTGGCCTGCACCGGGCGCTCACCGCCCGCGGCACTGTGCGCTTCTGGTGCTCGCTGCCTACGGCCGACACGTCCAGCTTCGTGCCGCTGGAGCTCCGCGTCACCACCGCCTCCCGCGCCCTGCGGTACCGCCGCGTCATCCAGATCAACGAAGTGGGTGAGTGCGCTGGGGACGGGGGAGGGGGACGGGTCCCAGGG